TCCGCGCAAGTTGTGACCAGCGGACGCATCTTCCTGCAAGGCGCATCTTCACCTCCGTCGTGGATGCTGTCCTGTGGAAGCGTAGAGCAGCAGGCGTGTCTTCGGCTCCGGCGTACGTCTTCTCCTGTGGCAGCGCACAGTGGCGGGCGCATCTTCAGCTCCGGCGTGCGTTGTCGCCTGCTGGAGGGTTGAGCAGCGGGCGTGTCTTCGGCGGCTGTGGCAGGCGTCACGCTGTAGAGGCGGACCGATTCTCAGAGATGGACGTTCGTGGCTGTGGGCACGGTCTACGCGAAGAAGAGATCGACGCGGTGGTGATGGCGGTGACTGTCGTCGTCGTCAACACGATAAGCGGCACGTCGTCGTCCTCACGCGACATGCTGACGCAGCTCCGTAAACGAAGAGCGCTGTTGCAGAGCATTGCCGAAGCGCCGGATTGCGTGGCCACGTGTGAGGCAGTCGTCCAGTTGTGTGCCGCGCTGTCGTCTGGCGTTTTCCCGCGACAGACCCCGCGTTGGTGGATTAGACGACGGACTGGCGGAACATGGGAGGACCTCCGCCTGTGTGATGACGTGACAGACGAGTACTACCGCCAGAAGTTGCGCATGTCGATGGCCATGTTAAGGCAGATCGTAGCCGTGTGTGCCACGTACGTGGAGAAGGTCACGCACTATAGGATGCCACTGCCAGTGGAGCAGGTGATCGCTTTCGCGTTGTACAAGTGGGCGTCAGGAGAGGCGTGCGAGAGTGGCACGTCAACCTTCGGCATCGGCAGGGCAACTGGACTGCAGGCCGTCCGTGACGTCACTTCGGCGCTGTTGCAGGCATACCCCGACGCGATAAAGTGGTCAGTGGGCCGTAGACGTGCGCAGATTCTGCGCGCTTTCCGTGACAAGGGTTTCCCGAACTGCTTCGGCGCAATCGACTGTACACACATCTACATTGACAAGCCCGCCGGCGCACCTTCGGAGAACTACTACGACCGTAAACAAAAGTTCTCCGTGCAGGCGCATGTGGTGGTGGATTTGGATCTGCGGATCCTCGACGTCCACGTCGGATACCCAGGAAGTGTGCATGACGTCCGTGTCCTGTACAATTCCCAGCCGTGGAGGCATGCAGAAGCTGGCGAGCTGTTCGACGCACCTCCAGAGAATCTGCCGCACGGTGTCGTTACGCGAGGTTACCTGCTAGACGACAACGGTTATCCAGTTGCCTGTCCATGGATCGTGCAGCCGTACGGAGGAATCGACCAAGATCCTAACGAGGAGCGCTTCAACACGCGGCAGAAGGTGGCGCGGGGGCGTGTGGAGAGGGCATTCGGGCGACTGAAGTGCATGTGGCGTCTGTTCTTGCGCACCCACAAGACGAACCTGGAGACCTTGCCACAACAATTCGTGGCCGTGTGCACTCTCCACAACATCCTCCTCGACGCGGGGATCGACTTCAATGAGAACCTTTTGTGGGAGGTGAATGAGAACGACGTTCGGCGTAGAGTAGACTTGGGCATTGTGGGGAACGGCGCGGGCGGGCGGCGATGGAGCACGAACGTGGACGGGGACTTGTTGCGGGATGCACTTCGAGACCTCCTAGCTCTGATGTAGGACCGTGCGGACGGGAGGGGGA